TTCCAGCTCCAGGCCCATAGCCGCCGGATCTATCGTTGTCTCTACATGGCCCTCTCTCTCTTTTTCTAGTCTCTCTCTCTTTCTCTTTCTCTCTCCAATAGATTCATGTATATGTATGTGTTTGTGTGTGTGTGTGTGCGTGTGTGAGAGAGAGAGAGAGTAGGCCTGAGGGGGGCCGGACCGTTGCCGCAGTGCCGCATGGGGGGCCAAACGAGCCTGGAGCCACCAAAAGGGCCACCAAGGGGGCTCTGAGGGCACCAACACGCCCCTTGCACGCCGACCATTGCTTCGAGACGGCCCACGTGGTCTCTTCAAGATGCCCCAGAAGAGCTCCAAACTGCTCTCCGAGAGAGGCCCGAGGTGGCGACAATCGTTGATCTCCCGTAGTTTTCCCCAGGATGCTCTCGTGGTCGCCTGCTCCGTTGCCCGACACGCTGAGGCGGCACAAGAGGCGCCCAAGAAGGCCCCAAGACCCTTGAAGAGGGCTCCAAGGCGGCCCAAGAGGTGCTCAAGATCGCCCAAGAGGGCTTAAGGCGGCCCCCCACATGAGCTTGGACACGTCACAAAGGGCCCTAAAGGAGGCCCAGCGGGCCCCAAACATGGCCCAAGCACGCCCACCACTGCTTCGATGCGGCCCGCGAGGCATCCAAGACGGCTCAAGAAGGCTCCAAGCTGCTCTCCGAGAGAGCTCCAATGGGCAATGGTCATTGGTTTCCATGGTTATTTAATGATTTTCGCCAGGTCGCCTGCTCCGCTTCCCGACGCTCCAAGACTGCATAAGAGGCGTCCACGATGGCCTCGACGTGCTCCAAGAGGGCGCCAAAACGGCCCAAGGGGCGCCCAGGATGGCCCAAGAGGCACCGAGGCGGCCCCCCAGATGAGCCTGGACTCGCCAAGAGGCATACAGGAGGCCCACAGGGCCCTCAAACGGCCCCAGCCCGCCTTCCATTGTTTCGAAGCTGTCCACGAGGTATCCAAGACGGCTCAAGAAGGCTCCAAATTGTTCTCCGAGAGATCACCGATAAGCAAGATTCATTGATTCGCCATCTGTTTCTCCCAACCATCCTGTGGTGTTGGGTTCTCGTTTTGAAGTGACGGTGCCCCGCGTTCCTCCTCTCCTCTCCTCCTCGCCCTCCTCCCCCTCCTCCCCCTCCTCCCTCCTCCCTGCGTTTCACCCGCCCAGTACAGCGTGTCGTGGCCCCATAGGGAGCTCCACCGAAGGTTCCAGGTCTACCGTCCGCATGCGTCCCCTCCACTCAGCACAGCGTTTCGTGGCCCTATCCTCCTTCCTCCCTGCGTTTCACCCGCCCATTACAGCGTTTCGTGGCCACATAGGGAGCTCCACTGAAGGTTCCGGCTACCGTCCGCATGCGCCCCCCCCACCCAGTACAGCGTTTCGTGGCCCTGTCCTCCTTCCTCCCTGCGCTTCGCCCACTCGGTACAGCCGTTCGTGGCCCCATATGGAGCTCCACCAAAAAGGTTCCAGCTCTACCGTCCGCATGTGTCCCCTCCTCCCAGTACAGCGTGTTGTGGCCCTGTCCTCCTTCTGCCCTGCGTTTTACCCGCCCAGCACAGCGTGTCTTGGCCCCATATGGAGCTCCACCTGAGAATCCAGGTCTACCGTCCGCATGCGTCCCCCCCCACCCAGTACAGTGTTTCGTGGCCCTATCCTCCCTCCTCCCTGCGTTTCACCCACCCTGTACAGCGGTTCGTGGCCCCATAGGGAGCTCCACCGAAGCTCCCAGTGGGACCGCCCGCATGCGTCACGGAAACACAATTTGGCATATTCACCCGCCCAGTACAACGTTTCGTGCCCCCTTAGGGAGCTCCACCGAAACCCCGAGTGGGACCGCCCACATTCGCCCCGAAATCCCAATTTAGCATTTTCACCAACCAGTACATCGTTTCGTGGCCCCATAGGGAGCTCCACCGAAGCCCCCAGTGGGCCCGCCCGCATGCATTCCAGAAACCCAATTGGTTTTTTCACCCACCTAGTACAGCGCTTCATGGCTCCATAGGGAGCTCCACCGAAGCCCCCAGTGAGACCGCCCGCATGCGTTCCAGAAGCCCAATTGGTTTTTTCACCCACCTAGTACAGCGCTTCATGGCTCCATAGGGAGCCCCACCGAAGCCCCCAGTGGGACGATCCGCATGCGTCGCCGAAGCCCAATTTGGCATTTTCACCCGCCCAGTTAAGCGATTCGTGGCCACATAGGGAGCTCCACCGAAGGTCCCAGGTCGACCGTCCGCATGCGTCCCAGAAACACACTTTGGCATTTTCACTCACCCAGTACAGCGTTTCGTGGCCCCATAGGGAGCTCCATTGTCGGCACAAGTGCTACCGCCCGCATGCGTTCCCCCCCACCCATTGCAGCGCTTCGTGGCCCCATAGGGAGCTTCACCGAAGCCCCCAGTGGGACCGCCCGCGTGCGTCGCCGAAGCCCAATTTGGCATTTTCAGTCACCCAGAACAACGTTTCTTGGCCCCATAGGGAGCTCCACCGAAGCTCCCAGTGGGACCGCCCGCATGCGTCCCGGAAACACAATTTGGCATATTCACCCGCCCAGTACAACGTTTCGTGCCCCCTTAGGGAGCTCCACCGAAACCCCGAGTGGGACCGCCCACATTCGCCCCGAAATCCCAATTTAGCATTTTCACCAACCAGTACATCGTTTCGTGGCCCCATAGGGAGCTCCACCGAAGCCCCCAGTGGGCCCGCCCGCATGCATTCCAGAAACCCAATTGTTTTTTTCACCCACCTAGTACAGCGCTTCATGGCTCCATAGGGAGCTCCACCGAAGCCCCCAGTGGGACCATCCGCATGCGTCGCCGAAACCCAATTTGGCATTTTCACCCGCCCAGTAAAGCGATTCGTGGCCACATAGGGAGCTCCACCGAAGGTTCCAGGTCTACCGTCCGCATGCGTCCGGGAAACACACTTTGGCATTTTCACGTACCCGGTACAGCGTTTCGTGGCCCCATAGGGAGCTCCACCGAAGCCTCCAGGTGAACCGCCCGCACGCGTCCCGGAAACACATTTTGGCATTTTCACTCACCCAGTACAGCGTTTCGTGGCCCCATAGGGAGCTCCATTGTCGGCCCAAGTGCTACCGCCCGCATGCGATCCCCCCCACCCATTGCAGCGCTTCGTGGCCCCATAGGGAGCTTCACCGAAGCCCCCAGTGGGACCGCCCGCATGCGTCCCACACGCCCAATTTGGCATTTCAGTCACCCAGAACAACGTTTCTTGGCCCCATAGGGAGCTCCACCGAAGCTCCCAGTGGGACCGCCCGCATGCGTCCCGGAAACACAATTTGGCATATTCACCCGCCCAGTACAACGTGTCGTGCCCCCTTAGGGAGCTCCACCGAAACCCCGAGTGGGACCGCCCACATTCGCCCCGAAATCCCAATTTAGCATTTTCACCCACCCAGTACGTCGTTTCGTGGCCCCACAGGGAGCTCCACCGAAGCTTCCAGTGGGCCCGCCCACATGCATTCCAGAAACCCAATTGATTTTTTCACCCACCTAGTACAGCGCTTCATGGCTCCATAGGGAGCTCCACCGAAGCCCCCAGTGGGACAGAACAACGTTTTTTGGCCCCGTAGGGAGCTCCACCGACGGCCCCAGTGCTACCGTCCGCACGCGTTCCCCCCCGCCAAGTACAGCGTTTCATGGCCCCATAGGGATCTCCACCGAAGCCCCCAGGTGAACCGCCCGCATGCGTCCCACACACCCAATTTGGCATATTCACCCACCCAGTACAGCGTTCGTGGCCCCATAGACAGCCCCTCCGACGGCCCTACTGCTATCGCCTGCATGCGTTCCCCCCCACCCAGTGCAGCGCTTCGTGGCCCCATCACCGAAAAATATATATTCACAATTGCGGTACCCACAACTGCATATGGTTGGGTCCTTGGCCAGGATCGTTGTAAGCGTATTCGCATGGTCGCCCTGCCCGCTTCACGACGCTCGCAGAAGGCACAATAGGCGTCCACGAGAGAGCTCCGACACACCCCAAGAGGGCGCAGGATTGCAAACAAAAAAAAACCCTTCGTTCAAGAGAGGTTTTTTTTTGCAATCCTTCGGTTTTTTTCTGCAATCCTTCAACCAGCCTGGACATGCCAAATGGGGTGCTACGCGCGGCCACGGAACCCAAAACGGCCCCCCCCACATGAGCCTCGACACCCCAAAAGGGCTTACAGAGGCCCCCACGAGGGCTCCCCGGTGGCCGCAACCATCAGGTCCCCAGAGAGTCTTCCAGGAACGAAGGTTTGAAAACAACCCAGGTTTTTTTTTGCAATCCTAGGTTTTTTTGCAATCCTGGGTTTTTTTTTGCAATCCTTCGACTGTGGCCGCCAGTCATCAGAACAGGAGGTTCTCCAGCGTTTCTCACTTGTTGCTCGTTCCGCTTGCCGACACTCCACTGCCCAAGACGCTCCCCGGCTTGCACCAAATCGGTCCACGAGGGCGCCAAGGCGGCCCCCCAAATCACCCTCGGCGCCCCGCAGGGCCCGAGGGCCCTACAGAGGCCACCACGACGGTCCCAACGCGGCCGCAGCCGTCATGTTTCCGGAAAGCCTTCGGGGAACGTGATTGTTGCCGCCTGTCCGAGGGAATGAAGTTCCACGGCCGCAGCCATCGATTGTCGCCGCAATTCATCATCGGACGAGGAGGGGAATGAGGAGGAGGAGGAGGAGGAGGAGGAGGAGGAGAAGAGGAGGGTGGAGGAGGAGGAGGAGGAGGAGGAGGAGGAGGAGGAGGAGGAGGGGGATGATGAGGAGGAGTAGAAGGAGAAGAGGAGGGTGGAGGAGGAGAAGAGGAGGGTGGAGGAGGAGGAGGAGGAGGATTTCCCGTTGTTGCTCGCTCCTCTTGCCGACGCTCCAAAAGTGCCGAGGACGGTCCGCATATTGTACCAAAGCAACCCCGCCAGTTTGGCCCAAGAGGCCCCACGACGGCCCCCCAAATGAGCTTCGACACGTCCAAAACAATCAACACGC